GTACGTGAGAGTAATAATCAAATAACATTGGAGTATGATAGTTGCATGATAGTAAAAGTGAATTATTTTTTGCATGTATAAGTAGGCAGAAGGGAGAGAAGAGGGTAAGTAATGGCATAACAGAAAAAGATGCAACGACAACAGAGTTGTCGTCATTATTATTATATGAATAAACATCACGACGATGTCTTTGATGTTGTGGTTGAAATGTGTAACAATGCTTCGAATGTGGGTCCTTATAAGTGTTCTCGTGGCGAACGCTCGCACTGGAAGTACGACATGCAGCCAGACATACTTGAAAGCGATCTAAATTACGAAGACGCTTTTTCACCACATCTTGGTCTCTATGAGATTTATGATTGTCTCTAAGTAAACCTAACAGTACATCCTTTCTTCCTTTTATTTGCTGCTAATAATAAGTTCTCATTAATATTTTTGTTATATGATTTAAAACGAAAGAAAATAAAAAAATAAAAAACCACCTTGCCAGGATGTAGACAGCAGGAAACACAATATTCATAGATAGCACAACATCCTTGAGCGTTACATGTTTTACAACTATATCTCTCTCTCCTAGGTATAGTTGATGTATCCTCATTTTTTATAGGACCCTTTTGTTCCATACTACAACAGCCATTTGGCAAAATTTCTTGTCTAGAGCATACAATACCACGCTCATCTACTATTAGAACTTTACCCTATTAAAATAACAAGAAGTTAACAAAGTCATTTTCATTCAATTTAATATCTTTTACCATTATCTTAGAATTTGATATACCTGAATAGAATTACGACAAGGACGAACAATATCAGTATCATTTAAATTTGATATTGCTTCTATATTTAATGCATTCTCATTTGCTCCTTGATCAACAATTGCCATCTGCCACAGTGGTGGTTTACCAGATGCTCTCAATTGTTCCGATATTGTATCATCATCAGAGATTAAGTCATCATTGTTGTCATTAATTATCATAGAATCCATATCATCAAGATCATTATCCAAAGCTAATGTCTTTTTCTAGGGATCAGATAATATTCTGTTCTAAATTTCAAATTAAAATTCACGTGTTTGATCATGCAAACTTTCCTTTATTTATATGTAATATATAATTTTTTCAACATTATTTTTATTTATTTACCTCGTTACGAAAGAGCGAAAAGGCACAATAAGTAAGTGACAAAGCAAAGATGAGTCCAAGTACAAGACGCCGTCTAATGATTCTGAATAGACTGCCACAACTCGGCATTCTTCTCACTTTTTGCAATTTATCCTTATGCTTTCATTTGACATTAAATTTCCAGTTTCTTATTCCAGTTCATGATCGCAACACGACTGAGAGCACAAAATTATTTTATTAAACTATTTACTTTTTTAAAAATTCTACAGATGATTAAAAATACATTTAGTAGTTGCATGAAAAATATTAAATTTTAATATAATTAAAATTTGATGTGAAAAACAGAAAAAGAAAAAGAATGAAAGACAGAGAGAGAGAGAGAGAGAGAGAGAGAGAGAGAGAGAGAGAGAGAGAGAGAGAGAG